ATCCTTTGAGATTTGCTTTGCACGATTCGACATCTCCATGCCTTTCCTTCTGGAACATCCAGAGCAGCTGGGTGCAGTCAACGACTTCATTCCTGCCTCAGTGTGGGACTTCGACGAGTTCAAGCATTTGCTCCTGCTGGATAATGTAAACACGATGGCTTTCTTTCAATGTCAGTGGGGTGCACCTTCCAGCAAGCCCACTCGTCTGGTCTGGAGTCGCCTGGAATGGGCAGCGGCCAAGCTGTTTGCGGGTGTGCCAACTTTGGGTTCTGACGGTCGCTACAAAGGTCCGCTGCCTCCTTCTTGCGGTCATCGTCATGCTACCCGTCTACTGGGCAAGGATGCAGCTGGCAATTGGGCCACCGCCTCAGCTGCCTATCCGCTTCCGATGTGCACGTGGCTTGCCAAGAGCATGCTGCGCCTCTTTCGCGCTGATGGGGGTGAGGGCGCTTCTGCTCTTGGACACAGAGATGAGAACCCTGCTGATGGGGGTGGGGGCACTTCTGCTCCTGGACACAAAGATGATAACCCTGGGGGTGGGGGCGCTTCTGCTCCTGGACACAGAGATGATAACCCTGACGACTCGGATGCTTCCTCTGAGGAGTCGCCTGCGAGCTTCGATCTATCCTCTTTGTGTCTTGTGGCGCCTGCAGGCACCTTACCTCGCGTGGACCAGGCTTCCGATGCGGAGAAGTTTGCTGCGCGTGTACTGGGAAAGGGGAGAATCACGCTGGGAGAGTTTGATATGCTGTGTGGCTTGCTTCCTTCGGACCCCGAGTCGCGTGCTACGTCGGGAGATTTCACTTCGAAGACCTTCATGAGTGGCATGTACCAACATGGGGGAGTCATTGGTCTACGCACACATATGACAAGCCACCCTTGGACCACTGCAGTCCTGTGTGCCATTCTCAGGGCTGCCTTCCCGGTGCAGCCGTTCACTTCAGTGGTGGTGTCGAGGAATCGTCAGGTTGTCCCCCACCGTGACAGTCAGAATGGCGACTACACCTGGAATCTTTTGGTCCCAGCCTCCCGCTTCTCTGGTGGGGGGGTTTGGCAGGAAAGCGAAAATGGGAATGAGCCGATGGAGTACGAGGGCGAAACGCGCTGGGGAAAGATCCTACCGGTGGCCACGGGCCCTCAGCTACTCGACCCTCGGCGTCTTCATGCAACCATGGACTGGAAGGGTGTGCGCACAGTTGTCATCGGGTTCTCGATCCGGGACCCCGAGAAGGCGAGCCGCCAAGTTAAGGCATCTTGGAAAAGAGTTTCAGGTTTGCAGGATGCCACCCAGACTGACGAGGCCGTGGCACGAGGACGGGGATCCACAGTTCGTCTGCAGGAGCGGGGTGCTGGGGAGGAAGGCGACACTTTTCACGGACACTTGGTGCAGGCACGCAAAGATAACTTTGGGGATCCCATCACGGTCCAGTGGCGTGGCAAGGTGCACTCTTTCGTGGATGGTTGCGGACTCAACAGCCCTGGCCGTTGGCGGCCGGCCGCCCGTGGGAGAGGGTTCCCTCAGGACACCGAGGCCTTTGTTCAGTCATTGAGGAATCTTCTGGATGGGTTCATACGTTCCGAAATTGGCGATGTACAACGGGCTTACTTCATGCTGGCATTGGGCAAATATGAGGAAGCGCCGTTCTCCGAGCAGGCCATGGACCGTCTGCGCTCATCATGGTTTGCGCTCCTGGAGGACCCAGCTTCAGCAGCGCATCGGGAGCCGGGCCAACCTTTCTTCTTGGAGGCCCTTTCCCAGACCTGTCGGGCTATGGGGGACGAAGACTGGGAGGTTCTCACTCGAGCGGAAGATAACTATGCTCGTGGCCGCCGTCTCGGTGTGGGGCGTCCCTTCGAGCGGGTGGTAGCTGTCTTCAGGCCAAAGGGTAAGTGGCGAGAGTACGATGAGTCCGAGTTCCAGGCCATGAATGAGAACTACGCTTCAGCGAAAGCGGTCCCTGAGCAGTTGGAGAAGCAGTTCGAGGAGGAAGAGGCGCTTGGGTTCATGTACCCCTTGTCGGAGAAGGAGGCACGGCGCCGATTCGGGGATACCTTAAGGGTTGCTAGTCTTGGTGCCATCATCAAGGATGATGGCACAGTAAGGGCACTCTTCGATGGAACACACTCGGTGAAGCTCAACAACTTGATCACGATCGCAGACAAGCTAGAGTTTCCCACGCCGTCGAATGTGGCGAGGGCAATGGAGATCCAGCAGGAGGACGGCAACCATCTCCTCGTGGGGATCGCTGCTGACATTGCTAAGGCCCATAGGAGGTACAAGCACGCTCCAGAAGATCATGGCTATCTTGGCTGTAGGGCGAGGCCAGAGGGACCCATCTGAATTAACCGGGTGGGAACTTTTGGCGTGGCTTGCGCAGCTTATCACTTTGCGCGATTGGCCGGCTTAGTGGGGCGCGGGGCTCTCCGAGTTGCTCAGCAGGCTGCCCTGTTCCAGCTGTTGTTTGCAGATGACCTGCAGATTATGGCTGGGGGGGAGAAGAAATACCATGAACTTTGGGTGGTGCTCCTCTACTGGCT